AGTTAGGTTTCACGGTCACATATTCTTGTGTAGTTGCTGTGCCACTAAGTTTTTGGCCAACATGATATGAATAGAAGGGATGTGTGGGGCTCCTGGATTGTGCCCTCATAGGCACAGGGTATGTCCTGCATTGAATGTGGACTTGGTTGTCATCCAGCTAAGGATGGCATAGAGGGAATGTAGACATCTGTACTAACAGGGCAGTGTCCTCACATGAGAGATAACTTACATCTGATGTTCCGGATACTTCCTTCTTTCCAACTAATCATCTGTTGAGCAGAATCAGGTCCAGATCAGTAGTCCTTCTCATTCTTGTTTACTTTTGCATATAGTTACTAAGGATATGGTTCATAAATTCATTATATTCTTCTTTAGCTGAATGAGACTCTCACAAAGAATTTCAGTGTTTGGAGTTTCTGCCAGCAATCATTGCTATGTATTATCTCATTTGGGGAGTTTGGGTTTAGATAAGGAAAACATCGCACCTTCTCTCTGAATACTCACACAACCTATAGTGTAATTATAGCTGTTATTTCTATTCAGTGTTCCTTTGATACGTGACTATGTACTCTCTGGTGTTCTGGAATTTGGAGTTTCATGTAAGATCTGTGTATAAGCACTCTCTCATTAAGATATTAGGACAGAATGCAATTTTCCCATTATAAATATTATTTATGTGTACCTATTGTAAAAGATTCCCTTCATAATTGTTAGCATGTAATAACCAACAAGAACTTACTCTGTAGATTGAAGGCGGAGAAAAAGAAAGTGATATTTGCTGAGTGATACACATACAACTATATTTATACAGATGAATACACACACACACACAATTTCTTCTCAAAATAACCCCAAGAAGTATACTTTATTATGCTTTTACTATAGATGAGAAATGTTCGGAGAGTCTAATCCATACTTAACTACAATCATGCAACTACCAAAGTTCCCAAACTGTTACTGAAGCTCATGGTTCCCAGACAGATGGATCTCGTCACAATGTTATACTTCTATTCCTTAAAAGAGAGTTTGCATATGCAGAGATCATTCTTGGCAATTTTAATGAATGTATATCTGAATGTTTTCTCAGAATTCTGTTTTGAGAACATAAGGGTAGGTTAAGATATCTCATGCTCAGGATTTCATAATATTTATTCTTTTTTGAAGGTTAGTTTCAATCTTTTTTAAGCTTATTTTTTTATTAGTTCTAATCAGTTATACATGACAGCAGAACACGTTTTGATTCATCATACAGAAGTGGAGCGCAATGTAAAGTTACACCACAGGTGCAGTCATACATGTACCTAGGGTAATGCTGTCTGTCTCATTCTACCATCTTTCCTACCTCCATGTCCCCTCCTCTTCTCTCCCTCCCCTTTGCCCAAATTTTCTGCATTCTCTTCACACTGTCCCCCATTATGGATCAGCATCCGCTTATGAGAGAGAACATTCGGCCATTGGTTTTGTGAGATTGGCTTACTTAGCTTAGCATGATATTCTCCAACTCCATCCATTTACCTCCAAATGCTATAATTTTATTCTCTTTTAATGCTGAGTAATTTTCCATTGTGTATATATACCACAGTTTCATTATCCATTCATCTATTGAGGGGCATTTATGTTGGTTCCACAGTTTAGCTATTATGAATTTTGCATCTATAAACATGAAGTGGCTGTGTCAGTGTAGTATGCTATTTTTAAGTCCTATTCTTAAAGTGATGTTGAATCATCTAAATCTTTAAGTCTATGAAAATTCTCCTTTAAATGCCAAGCAGGTACTTTTATTTATATTGTAAAGACAAACAAGATTATGGTTGGAAATTGTCATAGCAAGTAACCAAGTTCATATGGGAAAAGAGCTTATGTAGCCGGGCATGGTGACGCCTGCCTATAATCCCAGTGGCTTGAAAGGCTAAAGCAGGAGGAACACAAATTCAAAGTCGCCTCGGCAATTTAGCAAGACCCTGTCTCTAAATAAAAATACAAAAAAGGGCTGGATATTTGGCTGAGTGGTTAAGTGCCCCTGGGTTGAAGCCTATGTGTATGAAGGACTTTTCTTGCATGTACTGCAAATCATTTTCTACACCCTTTGGCATGAGATTGAAATATCTCTTTTAGTAATCCCCAAAATATTCTTCCATCACAGAAAATAGTCAGGAGGTCAGTTTTGATTGCTGTAATTCTGAAATCTCTTGTGGGCCTGGTTGGATGCAGAGTTTTTTTGATGAAATCATGAATCATCATTAAAAAAAATTAGATGGCCATGGATTACAAGATTTTTTTAAGACTGCAGTTTATGCCTCTTTGTTGTTCAATCAAAAACCACAAAATTTAAAATCCTCAGTTCAAATCCAGTGAAAGAACCAAATGCACTGTCAGAGTGTAACCAAAGTGACCATGTCAAATAGAGCAAATCCGTGAATTAAAAATGGACAGGGAAATTCAGAAACATTTGTTATCATATGTCCTTTTGAACTTATTACTATTTTTGTCCTGTATCTAAATAGATATGTGGACACTTAATGTACATTTCAAAGAATAAGACAAAATGGGAACCATGAGTGTGCAATCTAGAGTTTCCACTGTGTTTAGAAAATGTTATATTGAATATTTTTCTTTAAAAATATGATACAAATTTCTCATTTAGGATCTAGTGACATTATCTTTGGGAAACCTATATTATAATCTATGTAACTTTATATATTCATATTCAGTGCTCTTGAAATACTATGTTATAATGTTATTTTATTATGTTTTTAAAATGGAGCATGTCACTCATGGTTACTAATGAATTGTTAATTGGTAAAATTTTCAGTAACTCTTAGCTGAAAGTCTTTCCTGGTATGCAGGATGACTTCATTTTACTATTTCATATTTTACCATGCTCTGGCCTCCAAACCTCTATGATCTGTATCATCAGGCTTGCTTGCTCTTTGGAGTTTATTTGGTTGACTTCAGCTCCTAGGAGGAAACCCCTAGTCATCTAGTGGGCAAGTGAGAAGAGAAGTGAGAATACTGAATGCCCAGCTCCCTTTCTTAGTGCAGGAGAAGCTGTGAACTAGCTGTATTTTCCACAGGAGTTACAGCTCTTGTCTGGTGACGTTCTTCATGCAGCCTTTTCTGTCCCTGGGACCTCCTTCAGGCTAGGGATAGCATGCAAAGAAGAGTTCATGTAGCAGGCCAACTGATTATCTTTCAAAAGGATTGCTTACAAGGCTGGCCCTGGGTTGACATCTGGAAACTTGAATTTCATAAATTCTTGAGTTCTCCTCCTCTCCAGAACTGATAAGTGGATCAGTACACCTAAACTTTTGTACAAACCCTATGGTTTATTATTAACATCTACTTTCCTTCTGAGAGCCCCAAATTTTGGTACATGTGGGATAGAGGCTGCCTACATGGAAAGCCCCCAATAAAAACTCTTGAGTCCTGAATTTCTCATGAGCTTCCTGCCTGGTTGACAACACTTCACACAAGCTTTTACAATGTACTTCAGTGTGTCCAATGTGAGTACTGGCAGAGGACTCTTGGAAGCTTGCATCTGGTTTCCCTGGACTTGACCAATGACTTTCCTTTTGCTGATAGCATTCTGTAATAAGTCTTCACCATGAGTAGGACTCTATGATGTGGACTGTGAGATTCAGGGTGAACCTATGGTTCAGGGTAGTCTTGAGAACCTCAGACATACACAGTAGAAGAACTCCACTTTTACCCTTCTCTGAACTATTGCATCACTTTTTTGGTCTATCCTTTGAAAAGAGGTTTTTTTTTTTTTTATTAAAATCTCCCAAAATTACTTAATTTAACGTAATTTCTCTTTAACTCTGGAGATCATGCCTAAGTCACTAAGTGAACTCAGTTAATTTCCTATAAAAATGCTTATAATTTATTCGATGGATTCATTTATTTAAATGACTTTTTAAAAATTTGTTAAAGTATTAATGGTTGAAAAAGATTACTTAGTAGCCTGTGCCTTTGACATCTTATTCATGAGAAAATCTGATTAAGTTATGCTGTTCAAAGTGGATGGGGATTACACATCTTGGTGCTTGATCGTCCTTTAAAACACTGAGATGCTATTTGTCTCTATTGTGTATTTTGTGGGGAAAAAAAAGAGAAAAGAAAACCTACCCTCAAAAATTAGGGAGTCGGGTTGGAGTTGTAGCTCAGTGGTAGAGCGTTTGCCTCTCATGTGTGAAGCCTTGGGTTTGATCCTCAGCAGCACATAAAAATAAATAATAATAATAAAGATGTGTGTCCATCTACAGCTTAAAAAATTGTGGAGTCTCCTTGAAGAAATAGGAAAATATGCGGTGGCAGAAAACAATATTTTCACAGTATATAATTATATTATACGAATTATCACTGAAATGTTAGATGAATGTTCTTAAACACACGATAAGTAATTATGTCACCTCTTAAAAGCACCTTTAATAGAAGTTAGTAGATTCACATAGAATATGAAATTGTTAATTGGTAAAATTTACATTATTTAACATCTCTAACTATTTATATCAGCTAATATTATTCTTTACATTGTGTTCTGTGAAGCACGATAAGGTATTGTGCTTAATGAAATGGAAAACTTCCTCATAAAAATTCCAAAAATTATGCTACTTAAATTTCAGGTTTCAATGAAATGTATGTCAACTTTGAAATTAATTAAGTAGAAAATAAATATTATGCATCCTTGCATGATTTCTTGGAAAAAAAAGGCAAAGAAAGTAATGCTTGATGTAAACTATTGTAGTTTTCCTCTCCACTATATATATATGTCAGCTGCTTTGACCTACAAATTTATTTTATACTTATAGATTAAAAAGCTTTGTTTTAGAGAACTCATGATGCATATCCTTTGTTTATTAATGTCTTGGTAAACCACATGTCTTCTTGATAAAGTAATCCTGAATCAGAAAGACCTCTTTGCTGGATATCTTACTTTAGTTCACTTGTGTGTCTATTGATTGCTTTTGCTAATAAATGCTCTCTCTATTGTAATTTAGCTCCATCTCAGCAACCTCCACCCAGAGGACAAGTTCAAAGTTCTTCTGCCATCAATCTCTTCTGGAGTCCACCTGATTCTCCAAATGCCCAGTGGCTTACTTACAGTTTATTCAGGGATGGTTCTGAAATCTACATTTCTGAAGATCAATACCCATTCAGTGAGTTTAAGGGTTTGGTGATAGAAAGATAGAATATTCTGAGAATTGATACATTAGTTAAGTTCTCTGTCACTGAGGATAAATGTTGTGGTTTTTCTCTTTTTAGCACAGGGTTTCAAGCAGAGAGAGAATTACAAATTTAAGTAGTAATCAAAGACATGCAATAAAAATGAGATGTTATATTATTTAGCAAATGCTAAAAACTTACTAAATTCTCAAGGATAAAAAAAAAATGATCCCATCTAGCAGTGTGGAGAATATGGAACATTAAGAAACTTCTGTGATGTCTATGTGGGTTCATATGGGCAACTTTTCATGTACAATAATTTACTCAAATGTATGAGAAACCTTTCTTTTTTGAATACCATTTGATCAATCAAAAATACTTCAGGGAGTTTATCTCAAGTGGATGTTCATAAAAAGACACAAAATCACAAAAGTGTTCATACCTATATTTAATATTCAAATATTAGAAATGATTCAAATATTCAATAATCTTTCAGAATTGTGGCATATAGCATAAAAAATTAAATCTGACATATTGTTAACTAAATTGTAGGCTATGATAGCCTACAAAATGATATCTTTTCAATTAATGAAAAATATTCATGGCATTGAGGTAATTAAAAGTTACTAAAAATCTATCATGAGTTATAATATTTTAAGTTAAAACTCTGGAGGACTTAAAAACATGGATCTAAAGTTTTTTTCTGTGTGCAAATATCACAAAAAAAATTCTCAGATATTTCTATTTTAAAGGATTTAGATTTTAAATTTTCAAGTTAAAAAGGAGTCTTTATCTGAAATCAGGATTTCCAAGCAAATAATGTAATATTATGCATATATATTGCTTTTTTTATGAAGATAGAGCATAGCAACAGGAACTTTATTTGAAAGAGGAAGAATATGAACAAGCCAGGAAGGCCATCATTGCATTTGTAACTTTTAAGATTTTTAAAATGAAAGCGTAGAGATCAAACTCTTAAGAAACTATTGATGTTAAAAACATTTTCTCAATTGTTTTAGATACAACTTTCCTAAAGACAAAATGAAGGAATAGGAATTTTGAGATTCTTACAGCTCTGTGATCTCTTGAGTTTTACTCTAGCCATGTTTAACTACAGACTAGATTAGGAATCTAGTTTAGGAAACCTTGAAACAGAATTTCAATTCAAGTTTGCATTCTGTTCCCTTTAAAACTTAACTTTCCAAATACTACTTTAACATGCATAATTAGAAAATGTAGAAAACTCTCAAAACACTGACATTCCATAACCTTTCTTAAAATGGTTATTGGAGGATGCCTTGTTTTAAAATATGAATTGACTTTCAAACTCCTGCATGGCATACAGTTTTATTTTGTACCTATTGTAATTGGGTACATTTTGACCCTAATTTTGTATTACTTGCATCTAGCTTGCTAAGTCCGCCACTTTCTCGAAACTCTAAATAGTCTCTTCGGTGTTCCACATCTTCTTTGAAGTTAATGGAAACTCTGAACTTCATGATGCAGATTGCAAAGGGAAATGAACATCTGTCTACATCTGCCATCTTGGCAAAGCATCCTAAAAACCTGCTACTAAAATGTTTATTTTCTTCCAAATATCAGCATGATCCAGGTGTCCTGAAACTTAAACTTTTGTGATAGAGGAAGAGAAGAGTTATAAAAATATTGAAAATGATTTTGAAGATGACAGTACCACTGGTTGAATTATCTCTGGAGTTGTAAATTAGGGTCACCCTATTTTCCACACAGCTTAATTTGACAGCAAATTTAAATGTAAGACTATAAAGTTTACCATTCAAACCCATGTTTTCCATACTAACATATTGTGATCTATTTTATAGAATATTATATATGAGTGCAACAGTCTGTCTCTTTTTCATGATTGGACTAAAATAGAATCCAAATAACAGTTTGTTACATAATAAATGCCTATTCATTTACTAATCAGACATTTATATAATCCTATTAAACAAAGTATTATTTCCTAAAAATGTATTTTTCATTAAAAATACCATTTCTGGCATTTCTTGACAATCACTATAATTAATGATGTGAAAATTATCTACATGATGGCATTTAAACAGTAAGAACAATTGGTTAACACTGTCAGAAGTTGATACCATTCTAATAATACCCTCATGTTTATTAATCCATTTCCAGTGCATGGATAACATGTGTAATATGAAAAGGAAACACTACTTATATCCAGCTGAATGAACACAAATCCTTGGGTTAAATAAAGGCATTTGGAATTATAGGTGGAGAAGCATTGAACTTTTCAAAGAAAATTAATAGTGTAGTCTTCCAACCAAGTTTGAGCATTTGGTTGAGACCATTATAGAGTTCTTTGTTAAAATAGAAACTTCCTAGCTGGCCTGTGTACTACAGGATTCTCTAGGGTAATAGTTTCTATGCTGGGATCATGATGCACTACTGTATTACAATTTTGAAATCTTTCAAATTAGTTGTTTTTCGTTGCAAAGTATATAGTCAATATTTCCCTAAATGAAATTTAATTGGTTTGCATTCTCATAGGCTTTCAGAAGAAAAAAAGTACAGAGGTCAAGTTAGCATTTGGAATATACATCATCAGCAACTGATGTTGCTCCTGCTATAGACCCAATTTGGCTTCCTCAGAGGTGTCATGTCATTGTTGGGAAGGGAACAGTTTAGAGGAAAATAATACTCTTGTTTATGTTGCTTCTCAGTGTTATAGGTTTACGGAGTATTCGATAAAAAATACTTTTTTTAAAAAAGTAGTTTTTTTTAAATTTGGTTTTGGAATTCAAAGAATACTAGATATAATAGTTATATGGAAGTTAAAAAGTATCTTTATAACTGATGGAAGCCAGATTAGGGCATATATCTTCTCCTGGGCAAGGTGGTTTAGAAGACAGACTTGCTTTGCATCCTCCTCCAACCTCCGAAATTCACAGTCCTATGCATTTTTGTTCCAGTTGGATGGCATGAGTGGGGAAAAGCCATTAAATGTCACTCTGGGGAAGTCTTTCCCCAGGGAGACTAGAGAACAGTTGTTACTACATAAGATAATGATTTATATCACCTGGTGATATTAACATAGGGTTTTAGGCAAAAAGACTATCTTAGTAAATCTGGAATTTCATTTCTACCTTTATTATTGTTCAATCCCATCTTTAATATCATTATCATTCATCCCATAACACATCAAGGATCAATGGAGCAAGTGGTGAGATGGTTCAGTTATCCCTGAGAGAAAGAGACAGAAGTTATGAGGAGGAAAAGAGAAATAAAACAGAGGACAGCAATTGTTTTTATAAGGTCCTTGATACTGTTCATTCTTTCTTAATATCTGCTTACTGGAGACCTCCTCCCCATCCACAGATACAATGCCACCAGGGAGTGGGCAGAAGGCACTCTATCATTTATCTTTTACAGCCCTACAATATTCTGGCTGTTGCTTTAGTGAATGGGGATTTCAGACACATGGCTGATAATGTCCATTCCTTTCTCCCTCTTTTTTTAACCTCCTTTTATCCCATCTTCTATTGGACCTCACAATCATTCATACAAAGAAGTTTTGTCTAGAACTTCTCATGTAAATTCTTTATCGCAGATAGCAAATGTTTCCAAAATTTGCAGTTAAAAATAATGAACATTTATTATTTCACACAATTCATATAGGCCAGAAAATCAGGAAAGGATTCAGTCAAGGTATTGGCCAAGCAACAGATTTGACCCTTGGCTGGTAGTTTGCTGACCAGTGGCCGAGTATACTGGCATTTAGTAAACCAGTTACACAGAAGAAGCAGTTATTTCTGTTTCAGACACTGCAAATCTTCTTCTTAGGCTTTCTATCAAAAGGAGATTATAAAGGGGAAAACAAAGCTAAAACTTTTAATTATTCTTTACAAATGACAGTTTTTTTACATTATACTGAATAATGAAAGTAACCAGCATTTGCTTTATTTCACTTTTGAAAGTATGTACTCTTATTCAAAAGAATAGATTGGCATAGTTTGTAGTTAAATAATATGATGGAAGGAAATTAGAAATGAGCCTTTTCCAGTTTGTGGAATATAATATTCTTCCTTCTGTTCCTTTTCATTCCAGATACTCAACATTACTTAGACACTTCCCTGTCACCGTATACCTCATATTCATATTACATCAAGACCACCAGTGTGCATGGTTCAACAAGGAGTGCAGCTGTCACTTACAGGACAAAGCCAGGGGTTCCAGAGGGACATCTAAACTTAAGCTATACCATTCCTGTTAGCTCAGATTCGGTGACACTTACCTGGAGTACACTCTCTAATCATTCTGGTCCTATAGAGAAATACATTTTGTCCTGTGTTTCTTTGGATGGCATTCAACCATGTGATCCCTACGAAGGTCATGAAACCTCAGCTACCATCTGGAATCTGGTTCCATTCACCAGGTACCATTTTTCTGTACAGGCATGTACTAGTGGGGGATGCTTGCACAGCTTACCCATTATGGTGACCACAGCTCAAGCACCTCCCAGAAGGCTGAGCCCTCCTGAGATACAGGAAATCAGTTCCACAGAACTTCATGTACAATGGTCCCCACCACTGGAACCAAATGGTAAGAATTCAAGGCCTGGATTTTCTTTCTTGAACAAGAATGAGAATGTAGGCCTTTGGCATTGTTCAGTAAGAGCCTGGCACCATATTCATTTATTTAATTGTATAATATTATAATTGAGAAATAATTCCTAAAGAGAGAAGATACTATTTCTCCTGGTTAGTGGAACAAGTGTATTTCTAATCTCATAACAAATTCCATTCAATTAAATTGCCCCTTAAAAGGCTAATATTATCTTTGCTCTTAATGACATCTGCCATAGCACAAATGATGTTTATAATTGGAAGCTCACTTCTGAAATGCATTATATTTGACTGTGTCACAAGTTAGGGCACTCATAAGCAGTAAATTTTCTCTTTTAAGCAAGAAAGGGATATAAAATAATACAAAAAATATGTATATAGGCTTGCTGACTCCATTAAGTTAATTTTTGTGTTCATACAATTGAACCCTTGGTTATATAGGCCAAACACATATTTATAGGGTTTTAGTCATTTATATCATGTATATATTATGGCAAAACCTTTTCGCAGATTTTTTAAGTTACTTGGTAAAACTGAGTAAAAATTAACTGTAAAACTTGTGCAAATAGGGCTTATGTTAAACAGATAATTGAGCTAAAATCTTCAATTTTGAAAATATACAAATAGGAGATACAATAATCAGATTCCCAAAGAGAACTAGCCACCCTTGATAGAAATTCTGACCATCCATCCTGACAAAAGCTGACTACACCTATGATAGGCTATAGGTATTTTGTTATTTGTATATTGTCTCTGGTTGATTTTTCCTATGAATATGACTTTAATAGTATTTCTTATATTCATCTGCCCAACAGTTTGTCGTTTTTCATAAATTCCCATCATCTAGATTACTAAATTACTACATCTAGATTACTCAAAAATTGGCAGGTTAACTAGTTAGAATAACAAAAAGCCACTACGGTTGGTTTAGCTGGTCTGTGTTTGCCCCATCCCCCAAATATCCCCTTTGTCTGATTCTACCTTGGTTCACTATTTAACTTTTCTAGGAATAATTATAAGGTATGAATTATACATGAAAAGATTGAGATCTACTGAAGAAAGTCAAGTGTTTCAAAGCAGTGGCTGGCTCAGTCCTCACCCATTTGCAGAATCGACCAGTGATAATGCACTAAAGCCTCCTCAAGCAGCAACAGTCATTACTGGCTTGGAGCCCTACACAGAGTACGAGTTTAGGGTCTTGGCTGTGAATATGGCGGGTAGCATGTCTTCTGTCTGGATCTCAGCAAGAACTGGAGAATCGGGTAAAAAAAAAGAATGCTTTGAACTCTGCATTGAAATCCCCTGAATGAAATTGCTGCCGGAAATTAGTCAATAGTGCCGAAACAGTGCTTTTTGAAAAGCAAGTTTTATAAACATAAATGGGCATGGGGGAAACATGTATAGATTGGTTATATAAGTAACTCAAGGTCATAAAGAATTTGCAGGAAGTTTTAGGGAAAAAAATTACGTTTTTGTTATTAATTCATGAAAAAGAGGACTTAAATGTAGTTATAGTCTTTGGGGAGTGCTTCACCAAAATATCCCTTATTTTCTAGTTCTTGAGTGGGTTGGCCACTTGTCAAGTCTTGCTCCATATCCACCACAGTTATGTTCAGTGAAATGGTGAACCGTTACCAATTTTACACATCTTTTTTAAGCTTTTTTCTCTTTACAAAACAAATATTTTAGATTTTACATTGAATATAATAATACAAAATCTGTAATTCAGAAGTGTGCTTTTAAGCATTGGACATTTGCAAGGAAGGAGAGAAAAATTATTTTCTTAAGGTTTGTTCATTAAGGCAAATGAACTATTTTTAATCTTTTATCTTATTCTTTATATTACACATATTTCAAATTTTATGAGCATTTTAAGAAAACAAGTACACTTTTGTCATGATTTGAATCTATAGATATTCAAAGAAACCCAAATCCTGATCTAAAATGATCTGCTAGGACGGTAGAGGATGAGGGTAGCTTTAGGTTGATGTCCAAGGGAATCGTTTCATGAATAAAATGTGCATTGTGCTTGAGCATCTCTTAATGACTACCAGCCATCTTGGACAAATAATGGGGCCATGATAGCACAAGTGATGAGGCATGGCATTCTGGAAGGGGAAAATCAAGGTCAGAAATGAAAAGTAATGGGTGAAACTGCAATACTGGACCCTCATAATCTTATGGGTCACTGGCTAATGAAAGTGCGATGAGGTCCTTTGATAATACACCTTTGGTTAGCACATTTAAAATCCATATTAAGATCTCAAGGATGGCAGGGGGAAAATGTATGGTGTGTATGTACCTTGAACATTTCAATCAAGACTTACTAAAAACTTGGAGAATTTCTTTGGGGTGATTTAAAACATTTTAGGCTTACCTCTTTGTGCATTGATTTGGTTCACTGAGATACTTCAGTACATGAGAAATCCAGTGTATCCTTATACATTGTTCTGAATTTTGTGGTCTGAGTCATATTCAGTTTTGAGATTTCTTTCAAATATTTATAATCTCTAGAGTTTTCTAGCCAGGTATGCACTAGCTATCTTTATGAACATAAACAAAGTCCTCTAAGATTTTTATTTTGTAAATGACAAATATCTTAGCTGATAATGCAAAAATGGAGGACATCCTTGACAATGACATTTTTTAAAAGTGAATATCTTTCATATATAGCAGCATATTCTTGTATTGTTTTTTTTTCAAATCAGAATATTTTATAAAGAAGAGAGTGTTTCAGAAACTAGAATAAATATGTGAGCAAGTTTGAATACTGATAGAGAACAGCATTCATTGTTTTGATGTTGTTATTTTGTCTTTGATAGCGCCTGTGTTCATGATCCCTCCTTTAGTTGTTCCACTCTCCTCGCACTCTCTCAATGTCTCTTGGGAGAAGCCAGCAGAAAATATTACAAGAGGAAAAGTTGTGGGGTACAACATCAATATGATTTCCGAACAATCACCTCAACAACCTGTCCCAGTGGTGCTTTCAAAGGTATTGTTATTTTTAACTAATTTCCTTTCATTTCTGAATTTGCAGAATTCTGTAACAGAATCTCCCTCTGCATTCACTAAACAGGACATTTTCCTTCCAAACCTGATGTTAAATGTAGGAGTCCCTTTATTGTACATTACTTCTTTTCTTTTTACAATAAGTAAGCATATATTGAAACAAAGTTAGTATGATTTTGTTTCATCAGATCTGCTTTTTAACTTATACATCTTGTAAGAAAATAACTTTTGATAACTAAGCACTTTCATGCTATTAGAACACAAAATAGTATATTAAGCCAATCTGCAATCAGTTGATATTTATATTGTATTAATTCTATTGGAGGTCTAAATAACATTGATAAGAACATCATATGGGTACATTTTATATGTATTTCTATTTCCTTAGAAAAAAATATTGACGAATTTGTCATAGCTTATAAAAATTATGTTACAGGTTTTGGATATATACTCACATATTACCTTCTAGCAATTTATACTCCAGCAAGCAATAATGAGAATAGTAATCATAGTGATCATTTTACTGTATCCATGAACTACTTAATTTGATACACATAACAGTCCTAGAAGATGAGAGATTCTTGTTCTCTCTAGCTTATAGATATAGTTGATATACCTCATTTGCTCATTTTCTAGCATAGGGGTGGCCAGTAGCAGAGGCTGTGGACATCAACTGGATGGATAATCCTGTGCATGTGGCTGTCCACTGTGTCTTCTGAGGGACATTAACTGAACTAAAAAGATCTTCACTTTTTTATGCCCACTCCCAAAAATCTAGTCACATTTTTTCTTTCCCAGACTTCCTATTTTCTAATCTTTCAATCTTTCTTCCTTTATACTCATGGCCCATAGAGCCAAGTGACTATCATATATTTAACCCTGAGGTACTTAACCCTGTGGAAAATATAAAACAAATGCCTGGGACGACTGCCTGAAGTTCTGCCTGTTGAGAGGATTTCTTTTCACTGCTGGTTTTTAGGACCTTCTAGGTAGGGTTACAGAGCAGTAGCTACCCATTTTTGATTGGCATCCATATACCAAGACAACTCATCTGTGAGCTAAACTAACTAACTCTCTCTCTCTCTCTCTCTCTCTCTCTCTCTCTTTTTTCCTTTCAGCTCCTCAGGGAACTTCACTGGATTTGCAGGTTCTGTCATGGCTTCTTTCTATGCTTCTACCCAACCCCAGATATTCACTTCCATTTTATGATGAATTTCTGTTAAGCTCCCTTGACCCTGAGACTTGGCATGCCTGAAAGAATCTAGTTCTTGTGAAGTAGCTCTAGTCATCAGGTCATTTGATGTTTCAAGGTCAGGCATTCTGCTTTTAAAACAGTAGCATGATGGCTTTGTTCAGCAAATGCTATAGAGTTTCTATCATGTGATAAACTCTTGCTCCAGACATTAGGGATTTACTCTGTCACTCTCTTTCCATAAGGAACTCATCTTTTCCCATCATCATTACTTCTAGTACTGTAGATGCTATTAGACTTTAGATGCAAAATGGTTCCTCTGCTTGCACCACAACTTAGATCTGTGCAGAGCTCTTTCTCACTCTGGGATGCACTTGGAAGTGGCAGTGTTCTATATTGCTTGGTAACTTGGTTAGAATATGCTCTGAGTGTGGAATATGCTCCCTTTTGAGTGTAAGGAAGTCATCAGACTTTGTGCTTCCTTTTAGTGGTGGTAGATACTAGATACCATAATTTTGTCTTTTCCTCTGCAGTGGGTATCCTAGTGTTTCTCAGACAATTTGGACTCCTTTAAAACCTTCACCAATGTGGTAGATCTCCTAATCTTTATAAAGTTATTCTCCCACTTTCTGGAGCACATGTCTTACTAAGACCTATACCATGCCTGTTGTTTCTTGCTTATCTGATTCATTTAACATGATCTTATTGATATACAGAACTGAGACTGTCAAGGAGACTTTTATAGTTCACCTTAATTTGGTGATTAATTATCCTCCGATTGTCTTTCTTCAATGCACTGATAACAATGCAAGAGCCATCTGATTATATAGTCCTGATAAGTACTGCTTTGCACAAAGTAGTCCTAATAATTATGAGTTCATCACCAATGGAAGTTTAAATATTGTACCACTAGACAATGCTGTGGGCTATACTTACTACCTATCAGTGCTTTACTTACTACCTATAACAAGGTACCCATTGTCAGCCAGTTGAGGTACCCAACTCCAAAATACCACTGTAGAAACTCCTTTCAAAGCCCTCTCCTGGTACAATTTTCTAGATCAAGTTCCCCAGAAACCGTACACTGTGCTAGAAGACTAGCATGCAAAAGATTTATGGGAAAGAGCTCTAAGAAACAATACATGTAAAGTAGCAAAAGATGCAAGATTTAATTCTTTCTTGTGGATGAATAAAAACTCCATTGTGGATATATCTTCCTTATCCATTTGTCTCTTAACAGGCACCTAAGTCGGTTCCATAACTTGGCTATTATGAATTGTGCTACTATAAACATTGGTATTAACACATCATTCCATTCTAGTATGTTGACTTTTGCTCTTTTGGAGTAACATCAAGGGGTGTGATAGCTAGGTCATATGGTGGTTCCAGTTCTAGTCTTCTAAGGAATCTCTACCCTTGCTTTCCAAAGTGGTTATACCAATTTGTAGTTCCATCAGAAATACGCAAGTGTACCCAACCCCCACATCCTCACCAGCAACTATTGTTATTTGTATTCATGATGATTGTCATCCTAACTAGGTGAGGTGAAATCTCAGTGTACTTTTGATTTGAATTTTTTCTGATGCCTAAGGATGTTGAACACTTTTTACTGTATTTTTGGCCATTCATATTTTTCTTTTGAGAAATATCTGTGTAGATCATTTGCCCTTTTATTGATAGGTTGTTTTTTTTTTTTTTTTTTGGGGGGGGGTGTTAAGTTTTTTGAGTTCTTAATATGTCCAGGATATTTGTCCACTGTCAAAAGAGTAGCTGGCAAAGATCTTTCTCTCATTCTGTAGATCCCCTATTCACATTTCTAACTTTTTTTTTTTTGGTGTGCAAAAGCTTTTTAATTGGATGCTGTTTCATTTATTAACTCTTGGCATTATTTTCTGAACTTTATGAATCCTGTTGCAAAAGCCATTACCTGAGCCTACATATTGGAGTATTGACCTTATGTTTTCTTCCAGGAGTTATATTGTTTCTTGTCTAATTTTTTTAGTGTTTGATTCATTTTGAGTTGATTTTTGTGCAGGGTGTGAGATAAAAGCTAGTTTCATTCTTTTATATATGGATAACCAGTTTTCCCAGCACTATTTGTTAAAAAGGCTGTCTTTTCTCCAACGTATGTTTTTGGCACCTTTGTTAAGGGTCAGATGACTGTATATGTGTGGGTTTGTCTGTGTCTTCTATTCTGCTGGTGTCTGTATCTGTTTATACAGATCTGTTTATACACCAGAATCATTCTGTTTTTGTTACTATAGCTTTGTAGTTTAATTTGATATTGGTATTATTATGCCTTGATCTGGTAAATGGATAGAATTGAAGAATGCCATGCTAAGTAATAAGTCAGATTCAGAAAGTCAAGGGTCAAATGTTTTCTCTCATGTGTGGAACCTGCAGAAAAGTAAGGAATGGAAAAAAAGGGGGAGGATTGTATGAAAATAGAAGGACGAACAGTGGAATAGAGGAAGGGTATTGAGGGGGAGAGAAGAGGAGTGGGTAAGAGGATTATCAATAGAATGAAATTGACCAAATTTACTATGTTCATATATGAATATATCGCATCGCAATGAATCCCATATTTTGGTATATCTATAATGTACCAATTTTTTTTGAGAGAGAGAGAGAATTTTTTAATATTTATTTTTTAGTTTTCGGCGGACACAACATCTTTGTTTGTATGTGGTGCTGAGGATCCAACCTGGGCCACACGCATGCCAGGCGAGCGCACTACCGCTTGAGCCACATCCCCAGCTCTAATGTACCAATTTTAAATGACAATAAATAGGAAGGTCAGTAGAGTGGAGGAAAGAGGTCACAGACAGGGTGAAGGGGAGGGAGAAGGGAAGTTCTAGTGATTGAAATGGATCAAATTATGTTATATGCACTTAAGAATATGTCAAAATAAACCACACTATTATGTATAAGTATAATGCACCAATAAAAACTAATAAAAATAGAAGGGTAAACAGCAGGGTAGTACAAGCGGATAAGAGGGAAGGAGAAGAGGAGGCCAAAGAGAGGTATTAGGGAATTAAATTGAATCAAAATAAAACCTACTACTCTGTATAATTATTATATACCAATAAACAATTTAAAAGATGCAAATTAAGCCAAACAATAAGTTGAGCTATGATGCAATAGTGCAGAAGGCCTCAACTGATCCTGTGGGTAGTTCTGGAACCGCAGTCACATTTGAGGTTGTCCCAAATGGAGTCCAGAGGTCAGATCTTTGTACCTTTGTTGTATTTGCTTCCTAGGGCTGCCATAATATATTGCATAAATGAAGTGACTTAAAACAACAGATCTTTGATTCTTCGTAGTTATGGAGGCCAGAAGTCTGAAACTAAGCTTCTTTGCTCCTTCCACAGATTTTAGTGGAGAATCCTTTCTTGCTCTTTCCAGGTTTCAGCAGTTGCTTGTTCTATTTGGATTTTAGGGAAATAATTTCAGTGTCTGCTTCTGTTATAATATATCACCTTCTTCTCTGCGTCTCCATCTCCTCTGCCTGTGTATCCTCATTATCCTCATTTCTCCTATAAAAGCTCCAGTCATTGACTTTAAGACTAACAATAAATACAGGATAACTTAGCTATAACATCTGCAAAGACCCTATGTACAGAAGGCTACATTCTGAGATCTTCAGTGGCCATAAATTTTGGGAAGACACTCTTAAACCCACTAGATTTAATAGATTTGCCATTTTTCTAAGACTTTTTAGTAAACAGAGCATGTATACAACACAAAATTTTATTTTATGTATTAGATAGAAAAAAGAGTCAGTGATTTGTGATTTCTTGCTGTAGTTTTCCACTAGTTTGAACATGTTTGATTCATTGGCAACTATGTTACAATTAAAATCCTAATTAGTACAATACACATCCTTTAGTTTAAACAATGTAGTCTGCCAATCTGGCATGTCATAGTATTTATGATAAATTTACAATTATAACTGATGTTTGGTCTTTAATTGTTATATGTTTTTTTTTCTATATATAGAACAATAAAGCAGCTTGGTGTTTTGTTTTTATTATTCTTTTGTTTCTATAGGTTATCAAATTTTAAATTCAATACCTAGGCAAATACTTCAAGTTTAATTTATTATACTCTTAAAGGAAATTATCTAAAAAAATACTCCAAATGTTGAACTTTATAATTATCTGTATTTATATTTATTTATTGAAGATTCATTTATTTGAACATAGTCATATCACTTAAAGACAGGGATATGTTCTGAGAAATGTATTGTTAGGAGATCCATTGTGCAAACACCACAAAGTGTATCAGAAGATGGTATACATCAATCACTCCACATGGTCTCTAGATACAATTGAGAAGTGTGGTGGACACAAGATATGTGAAGCTGCTGCTAGTGTTACACAGCACACTGCTTTACAAGAAACTTTGTTTTTATAAATAAAGAATTACACTCAAGTAATAAAAATGTATGATATAGTAAATATGTAAAGCAGTAACAGCCATTTTTGTTATCATATCAGTATTTTGTACTATACATAAGTGCATGTACTACACTTTCATACCACTGGCAGCAGAGTAGATTTGTTGACACTCGTGTCACCCACAAACATGTAATTCTTTATACTACAACATGATAATGGCTATGACATCACAAGCTAAAATATTTCTGTGTCATAGAAATATTTCAGCTCCATTATATCTAATGGTACCATAATCATATGCTGTCAGTCTGGTCCATTGTTGACCAAAACACCATTATTTGCCATGTGAGTTTATATCAGTAGTCCTAAGAAAAATAACTTTGTATTCATTGTTGTGGTGTTCTGCTTTAATGACTTCTTTGCCTCAATATCATTCACATCCACAGCCTAAGCAAATTTACATAGTTCCTTTTGATCAATTGTAGTTATAAGGATAGGGGCCAATTCTCAGTGTTGGCGGTTTAATTACTTGTTTGTGGACTACAGAGTTCCTCTCTGTCTCCTTTGCCCAAATCTGCTATTTTCATTTGAAAGTGCATGATAAAGACATCATTTAAAAAAAAAATAACTTTGATCTATTCTGCATATGCTTGTTTATATAAGAAAGATAATTGAGAATTAACCTCATGTGGATACTCACTAATATATTTAATTGTTTTCCCTTTTTGTTCTTTGGCTTTTTTTCAGAAAATGATAGAATTGATTTAACATAGTGACATTGTTCTGTTCTTATGCCATCAAATAGCATGTGGTATTACTACACTGGGTTACTTTTGGCCAAGTCCCATGGTTTTGTTTGGACTTTTTCACAGTAACAATGACAATGTCACCATCTTTATCTCTACTATTGGTGACAATAACCATACCACCACGCTGCTTTATGAGGCAATAACTTGGTTTCCTCATTTATCCACTCAGGAACTGGATTATTACCTCATAAAACAGTGTGATTGTACAATTATCAATTAAATCCTGGCTTGTTGAGTCTCTTACAAAAAAAAAAAAAAAATCCCTTTTCCTAATAGTAGTTGGCCTTAATTCCTTGTGTCTGAATTCATGGAACTTTGCCTGGCAAGATTATATTTTTTTCACTGATTATCTATTATCTGATTATTATTATTATGTTTTGTCTTGAAGCTGTTGCACACGGCTAAATCCCAAGACCTGTCTTATGTTGTAAAAGGACTAAAGCCTTATGGGATATACAAGTTTACTGTTTCTCTCTGCAATTCAGTTGGTTGTGTAACCAGTGCTTCAGGAGCAGGACAAACTTTAGCAGCAGGTAAGCGAGTTTTAATGGCGATGTAAAAATAGATCATATATTTATAAACAAATATCTACAAACTTTCTCTGCTTTGGACTTAATATTTGCAGCTTTTGTCCCCTAAAGCATTCTTTTGCGAACTGATTGCTATCTACCTTAATATTTTTAAAACAAAAAAAAAAAAATAAAAGTTAAGCTTAAGAGGTGCCTAGGAGCTGTGCCCTAAGAGCTACAATTGATTCTGAGTGGGAGAAGCTGCAGGGCTCAGCCACAAGCCTGGATCCTAGAATGTACAGTTAAGAGGAGAGCTCAGAAGGCTTCCTGTGAGGGCTTCAGCATACTTCTTCCCTCAGACCTAACATGTTTTGTGGGGTTGGGTCTACCCACTCTTGTCCCATGGGATATCCAGGAATTAGTGGGTTGCCTTCAGATCATGTTTTGTCCTTATTGGATAGGCAGGTGTTACTTATTATTTGATTTATAATTAATAAGCTCCTACATTTATGAAATTTAAAAAGGAACTTATTGTCAAGTACAATCCTTATCAGAAATAGTGTGGATCATTTTTGCCTGCTTCACTTTAGAACCATATGGATTTATATAAACTTTGATTATATGTGTCACTAGTACCTGTATAATCCGATGACTTAGCATTCTTAGCATATTTGCAAATCAAACGTTCTCTGTCAGCAATTCCATAAGGCTCGGTTTCTCTTGAAGAAGTGTCTAGAGGTAGAAAGGTTAAAAGACTCCTGGATATACAGATATAAGCATCTATTTAAATCAAGTATTTCCTAGACTTCATTCATAAATATCTTCATCCTATTATTAGTGGGTATAATTCTATTCTATATAAACTCCATACCTTAGTTTTTCAACTCAAAAAATTAAGATAATGTATTTTGTAGGAGTTTTACAAGAATTAGAAAAGTTAATATATATAAAATAATTAAAACATTCTCATTACAGTGCAAATTCTCAATAAAATTGGATATGATTGTTGTCATACTATTATACAATGTTTTTATCAATGGATAAATGTTATGGAATTTCTAGCACTATCAAAATCAAGAAGTTTATTATACAAGTTTAATTTTATAATATTATAGCATATATGCAACAATGGAGAGTTTTAAAACCAAGTCTATTGCAAAAACAAACTTTAGGAAGAAAAAGTCTGAAAGCATCGTATTATTTCTGCAAGAAGTGTATCATTATAATATGCATCTCAAAAATTTGCCCCCAAACTACTAGTTTCAAATTTATTATTTTCTGTACAATTATTAAGATGCCCTAAACAAGTCTTGTGACGGCTCTCAATCAGTGAGCATCTATGTATTATAGGGAATTCAAAGATAATCTACACAGTGCTGGGGTGGAGGAGTCAATACTTAACAAGTAGGATTAATACCCTTCCATGGTATTAATCCTAATTAATCTAAGATCTATCAGAAAGACTAAAAGAAAGCTATGGGAACAGAAAATGGGAAAAATGGTTTTGATTTGGGATATTGTAAATTGTCTCATAAAATTATGCTAGAGAGGGACTGAATGACTGGCAAAGATTTTTGCAAGAATTTACTAAACACAACCATGTTCCTGTCAGTATCTTAGAAGCCGGCACTGTCCCAGGTACTGCTGTGATGAAAGCTGGGGTTAATGAAGACTTCTCTTGCAGTAAAATATAGAATAAATAAGAAGAAAGGGTGTGAATAGAGTCTGGTAGTCTTTTCTAAAAGGCAATGATGAAATAAATCAGATGAGTAGAAGTGAAAATTTTAAAAAGGGAATGGAGTCCTATCATAGAGAAGAAATCCATGGGTTGATAAAAGGGAAGACTAGATGGTGATGGTAAATATGGTAGCCCTCTAATTAGGATGGCCAGAGCAGAAGCCAGAAAGTAAAGGATTGAGTAGTGGCAAGAAAAGATGATGGGAAATTTCAGATGCATGGTTCTTTGATTTTCACCAAAGTTTTCCATCTACTCAGTTTCCATTAGAAAAAAAAATTGCATTGACTTTTGTTTCCATTTGAAATCCTTTCTTTCCTAAAGGAGAAATTATTTTAGTGATTTTCTAGGGTAGGGTGGGAGTTGGTTTTATTGTTCATTTGATTTTTGTCTTTTGTTTGTTGTTGTTATTTATTTTATTCTTATGCAAGACATTCAACCTAGGGCAAAAGTTTGTTTTAATCCCTTAGTATATTTTATGGGAACTCTCTGACCCTTTGTCTTCTAAGAAGAAAATAACGTCACTTACATGGCAGTAGAAGGGAAATAACCTGTCCTATACTTTACTGTACAATACGCCATTTTCAGGTAGCTTTAGGTCAGTGAAAAGGAACTTACTTGTTTTGTTTTTAATTATAAGGAAACCCCCACCAAATATAGATTCAGTATCCTTATCCCTCCTTTATTTACAGTACGTGAGTAATTATTTTTTCTAAAAATTTCCCAAGATTAAACATCTGGATAGAACTCATGGAAATTATGTCATAGAAATAAATGATGTAGATGCCTGTTCTTTTGAATAATCAACAAATTTGTTGTAGGAAAGCAATGAAAGTTGACTTGCAGTTGCTTCTAGTAATAACATTGCAATTGGGAGGTATATATTATTCCAGCAAACTTCAATGGACTTGAGGGAAGTTAAAATCTTAAATCTAATATAGTAATATGAGCTCATTATCAGAGATGAAAAGAGGCTAGCAACCATCCAAAATTTTTGAAAAAGAGCATTGCAAATTAGAAGTGATCTTTAACCTTTTAGAAGCATTGAATCTTGGAAAATAAATGTTTCCTCATTAAATTTTGATCATAAAATTAAAAAGATATTTGTAAAGTTTTATCTGGCTGTTTCATTAAAAAACTTGAGAATTATAATTGGCTCTTTTTTGTTTTAAATATTTTATTCCTACTGCCTTTGATTAGAATGGGCCCATTGTGTCCCAGGTATTGTATTGCTCTCTCTTGATTTTGATGCTAGTGACAAAGTCTGAGAACTGACTTACTGAAGGTATTCTTCCAGGAATAGCTAGTGTCTCACCTTTGCAAAAATCTCAAAATATTGCAGCTTCAGATTTGTTTCTAGTTGTATGAGTGTGAAGGTCTGATGAAGTGGGCCCTCTGAAAATTTTTATTACGCTTTTTCTTAAAAATTACCCATTTAATTTAGGAAATTTGTTGTATTTTCACTTTTTTCAAACGGAGTCCACTTTACACCTTCTTTTTAAGAAATTCCTTTTGGAGATTCATTCCTGAAGGAATAACATGATATTTCTTTCACCTGTCAAAAATTGACCTCTAATTCTCTGAGCTTAGGAGTGCCCATCTCCCATTAAGCAAATAATTAGTGGTGCATTAAGTTTTCACTCTGAATCCAAAGTGAAATGTATAGTCTGTTTGCCTCTGGGTTGAAAACACACATTGTTTTGCATGCAGGTACGTAAGTCTTTTCATTGCGAATAGGACCCAGAGTGATTAAACAAGCACTCTTAATATGTTAATTTATAATTTTAATTACAACAATCTTGTATATATAGTCATTAGTGAATACTAATATAAATATTTTTCTACCTTTTTATTCATAATGCATAAACCAATCATCCAGTTACTTCTCTGAGGTTGCCTGTTTTCGCTTCATAATACAATCTTTGTTCTTAGTTATGAATGCATTTTGTTCGTTCCTGTCTTGAATAATCCCTCATTAAGCTAGTCACTTTCTGCTCCATGCTAAAAAGGAAAAATTATCATGCAAATGTGGCATGCCATATTAAAAAGCACATTACCAAACACTTTTGTTGCTGTCCTTCAATTAGTTTCCCTTCTTTGAATTTAATTCCATTTGTTGTTAAACTACTGACTTGATGTATGGACTCATGAATCTGAGGCTGCTGCCAAGAAAGTGGTGGGAAAAAAAATCAAAGCCTCTTGGAAGAGCTGCAGAGGCGAGCTGAAATGAATTTGCTTCACCTTTGACAAGAACACTTGAACGGCACTGGAATCCTCTGATGATTCAACTTGGCTAATTATCCAATTATTTATTTCAAGAATAAAAGCAGCATTTTACAATTAGAGAAGTGTAAAGCAGCCTGAGAAATTTAGTAATGACAGATGACTTAAGTAACTTCTCAGATAAACAGTATCTGTGCAAAAACTTGTCTCACCAAGTCTTCTCAGGCAGCAGTTCTTGTGTCTTAGCATCAGTGAAACTGAGTGCACCAAAGGTTTTTTGTTTGTTTGTTTTGCTCTTTCAACAGAAATTATTTTACACTCATAACCACCATGTCAAATTTCCTTGGCTCTTAAGCAACATTTAAGTTGCATTTCTCTTGATTAAAAGCTTTTGGTTCAAAGCAATACTTTTTAATTGCCTAATGATATAAGTCAGTTCTTAGGAAAGAACCGCACATTTAGGAGTTCATTTGCAATATAACTGAAAAATTCATTGCATGGCAGTAAAACAATTTACTGTTAATTACAAGGAGAAGAATTTGCTGTAGCATGCTCACAGATTGCCATGAATCATGCAGCACTCCTAGAGATTTATAACAGATGTGTAAGTGGGATGAATTAGCAGGGTTTAATAACAGAGACACAAATCATGCAGACTTCAAGGAGCTTTAATTGATATACTAGAATGTGACGGGCATGAATCACTCAGCCATTCAACAGCACTGTAACATATGGTCAGCTCAATATGCTGCATCTTAAATCGGTTGGTGAGTCGTTGGTTGTCCCATATGGTGGAAGCAATATATTTTTCATGATTTAAAAAAAATACATCCATTTTTAAAAGAAATATGATTGCAAAGCATGTTTGTTATTGAACAGTCACCTGAATGCCAAATCGTTTTTGTTTTTTTATTGTTTTGCTTTTTAAATGATTCTTTTTTAAAAACATGGCAGCTTCCCAAAATAAATAGGAAATACTACTTGTAATACCAGATAGCTGGAGGCATTATGGGAACCAGATCTATGCTTGTTGGCACACTTGACCCCCAGCAAGCCTATAGAAAGC